TAAAAATTGAATTAAAAGATTATTTTGATACAAAATACATCTGAAATTAATGCATAGTTTTTTTACAATATGTATCAATATATATTTTCCATGAACTTTTTTAAGATTTATTTTATTTATCTGAAAGGCAGAGTTACAGAGTGGGGTTGGAGGGAGGGAGGGATAGAAATATTCCATCTCTGGCTCACTCCCCAAATGGCTGCAACGGCCAGGGATGTGTCAGGCCAAAGTCAAGAGCCAAAGCTTCATCCAAGTTTCCCAAATGGGTGAAGGGACCCAAGTACTTGTACCATCTCCTGCCACTTCCCAGGAATCAAACCTGAGCCCATATGAATGCCAGCGTTGCAGGCAGTGGTTTAATCCATTATGCCACAACACTAGTCCATCCATGAATGTTCTGAAGTCTCTTTTTAAGTATCAATGTATGTTCCTGACAATGTAGGGTCAAGAGATACAAAAGTGATCACAGAGTTGTTATGAGAGGTCCAAGAGGTAATGACCTTTTAAATAAAGTAAAGGTGCAAGAATACTGTGAGGAAACCAACCATATGCAGATGTGGAGGAAGAACATTCCACAGCAAGCAGACAGCAAGCGCAAAGGCCCTAAGATGAGCATACTTTGGTATGTGCAAAGACTAACAAAGAACCCAAGTGGCTACAGCCAGGCAGATTAAAATGAGATCAAGGAATCATAAACAGATCAACTGGAACTTGGCAGGCCATGGGTAAGTATTCTGGGTGTGACATCATTCTGGCTGATGTCTTCAAAACTCATTGTACAAAAGGCAAGAACAGAAGCAGACATGAACTGGGAGGCCATTATAGAAGCTTAAATAAGAGACTGTAGTTTAAACTTAGAGGTAGTAAAGAAACAACTGATAGATAGGTGGGTTTGGAGTATACTTTGCTAACATGTTAGAAATTGAATGTATGGAAAAAGTCACAGAAAAAAGGTTTTAAGGGTAAAATGTTAAGCTATACAACCATTTTCCACCAAAAACAATTCCAAAATTAAAGACTTTATGGTTGATGTGCTAGTTGTTTTCCTGTTGGCTATCATCTGCACACTCACTCTTCCTTAGTCTCCTTGTCCATACTGCTGGGGGCCACAAGTCTGCATGGGATACTTTCCAGACCCCAACTGAGAGATCAGGTTCCACAAGTAGAAGCCAAAGTCAGATTAAAAGGTAGGAGAGAAGGACCAGTGCTGTGGCACACCAGTTAATCTGACACCTGCAAGGCCAGCATACCACATTGGAGTTCCAGTTCAAGTCCTAGATACTCTGCTTCCAGTCGAGCTCAGCTGCCTGCTAATGTGCCTAGGAAAGCAGCAAAAGATGGCCTAAGTACGTGCACCCCTGCCACCCACATGGGAGACCAGTATGGAGTTCCTGGCTCCTGGCTTCAGACAGGCCCAGTAGGGCCATTTTGGCGATGTGAGGCTTGAATCAGCAGATTGAAAATCTCTCTTACTGTTTCTCCCTCTCTCCTTCTCTATCATTCTACTTTTCAAATAAATAAAATAAATCTTAAAAGGGGGGGAGGGGCAGCGCTGTGGCACAGCGGGTAAAGCTGCTGCCTGCAGTGCTGGCATCCCATATGGGTGCCAGTTCGAGCCCTGGCTGCTCCACTTCCAATTCGGCTCTCTGCTGTGGCCTGGGAAAGCAGTAGAAGATGGCTCAAGTCCTTGTGCCCAGAAGAGCTCCTGGATCCTGGCTTCAGATTGGCGCAGCTCCAGCTATTGTGGCCAATTGGGTAGTGAACCAGTGGATGGAAGACCTCTCTCTCTCTGCCTCTCTTTCTCTGTGTGTGTGTAACTCAAGACTTTCAAATAAATGAATAAATCTTTAAAAAAAAAAAAAAAAAAAAGAGGCAAGAGAAAAGAAGAACCCACTCCTTGAGCACTCCAAGAGCTGCTCCAAAATTCAGCAGCATTGGTGGCCACTTTAGCAGCGTCAATGGGTCTGTGAAGTCCTTGGCTCATGTCACAGCAACAACCAGGCAAGCTCCTGGCTTTCCACCTAGGTAACAAAGGCACTACCCCCAACTACCTAGAGGTTCTGGGTAACACTACATTCTCTTCTGTCCCTCCAGCCCTCAGTGCAATAGCTATTTCCCATGCTACCCATGACTTCTGGGTAGCATGATCACCTCAGCTTTTTTATTCCTCCAGCTCTTCCAGCACTTTGCAACCACCCCCTATATTAAAAGTTTTCTGTCAGAAGTATTCTAAGTGGTTTCTGTTCCCCTGAATGGATGCCAACTGACACAGTTAAGAAAGGATTATCACTCTCCAGAGTTTTTGTTCCTCACAACACATTTAGAAATAGGTGTGACTGATTTTATCATCCCCTTTTTATAGAAGAATAAACTGAAAAATTAAAGTTATCAAGTAAACTGAACAAAATTATACAGGGAGTAACAATGGGGCTAAAACTCAGTTGAAATTGTCTATATTCTCTACTCTTTTTACATTAATAAAGTCAAGAAACACTGACTGCTTTCAATTTTAGAAAGGAAGAAAACAAACATTAGTGGAAAATACATAGATTTCAGGAAAGTGGGTGCACATTAAGAGCACCAGCATTAAAAATACCAATCTCTATCTCTATTAAGGCAAAAATACACTTACATCATGTTTGAAAAATAAACCCAATTTTAAATATTTAATTTACTCTCAGAGACTGACCTGTAAAATATTTCAAAAATTTCTTAACAAGAAATCTTTCAGGGCCAGTGCTGTGGCATAGCAGGTAAAGCCGCAGCTTGCAGTGCCGACAGTCCATATGGGCACTGGTTCAAGTCTTGGCTGCTCCACTTCCAGTCCAGTTCCCTGTTAATGTGCCTGGGAAAGCAGCAGAAGATGGCCCAAGTCCCTAGGCCCCTGCACCCACATGGAAGACCCAGAAGAAGCTCCCCGGCTCCTGGTTTTGGATCAGCCCAGCCCCAGCCGTTGCGGCCATTTGGGGAGTGAACCAGTGGATGGAAGATCTCTCCCTCTCTCTCTCTGCCTCTGCCTCTCTGTAACTCTGCCTTTCAAATAAATAATAAAGAAATCTTTAAAAAAAATCTTTCAACACAAAAAACAATTTATTTACCAAAAGTTTATCTTAACCATAACTTTTCATATATAAAACTATAATAGAGTAAGATATTCTTAATTATTTTATTATTTGTTTTCTTATTTGAAAGGCAAACCTAGAGACAGAGACAGATGTTTCATCTGCTGGCTCACTCCCTATGTGCACACAATAGCCAAAGTTGAGCTAGGCTAAAACTAGGAAGCCAGAACTTAATCTAGTTCTCCTAAATGAGTGGCAAGGGACTCAAGTAAGTGAGCCATCATCTGGTGCCTCCCAGGCTGTGCAAATGCAGGAAACTAGAATAAGAAGAACCAGGACTAAATCTAGACCCTCCAAACGGAATGGGCATACTAAACAGCTTCTTAACTGCTGTACCAAACACCTGCCCCAAGTAAGATATTCTTACGTAAAGCAACAGTATAAGATTTACTGGTTGAAATAAAATATGACAGACAGGGACTCTTTCACCGGGTAATATATTATGGATAAAACATTTAATGCACTACACTCATTTAAGAGTTGTTGCATACCCAAAAAACTTAACAGCCATATTATATTTTTAAAAAACTTAAATCCAAAATGTCATTAGACTTGAAGTGAAATCAAATATACCTAACACTGGCATCTAAATTCAGTAAAAGGCAAAACGAAACAAAAAAGCACAAAGTAGTCAAACTGTGTAAAATGTTAGAGTGAAAGCCATTAAAACTTAGAAAAAACCCAGGTGAAAATTTTCATGACCATGGATTTGGCAATAGATTCTCTTAGATGTGACACCAAAAGCACAGGCAAAACAAAAAATAAACTGGACTTCAGATATCATCAAAATTAAACTTTAAAACCTACAAAAATGGCAAAAATATTTACATAAAATATATTGATAAGGATTTATCACCCAGAACAAAGAACTCTACAACTCAATAACAAATAAATAAATAAATAATGGGTAAACATAAGTGACTATTATATGTTAATTTAAAAACAAAGCATAAAAAAGTAGATTTTACAAATTAGTGCACACACTGGGCTAGAACAGGGTTTAGGAGTCTGACTAATGTTTTGGTGAAGCAGAGAACCTTGGTCAATAAGAATATTTTGTTGGTATGTTCTGGTGCAGTAATTTCATTCTCCTAAAACATCTGGTATGAAACATGTGGTAGACAGTATGGAAATGCTGACCATGTCGCTGCAGACCATCTGATATGCAGGCTGTTCCCCTCTGCTGTTGTGTTCTGGCAAATAACCTAACCTCTCTTGTGCCTCAGTTTCCTCATTCACAAGTGGGAATAATAACTAAACCTATTCCATAGAAGAGTTCTAAGGTTAACATGCAAATGAAGTGCTTAGAAGTGGGCCTGAATAACAGGCATGCAATAAACATCAGTTATTGTCTAACAACAATAAAAGACAAAGGACTTGAAAAGGCAGAGTTGAGAGAGAGAGAGAGAGAGCAGTCAGGATTGGAATCAGCACTCAAGGTGCTCAAATGGAATACTGGCTTTGTGGGCAGCAGTTTAATCAGCTGTGCCACAACACTGGCCCCCCATTAGCAGTCTTTCATTGGCAGCTGATTAAAGAGCAGATATTTGTATGTTTCTTAAAAAAAAAAAAAAGAGCTAATTTAAAATGAAAACTTTTACTTCTGTAAATAAATTTTTTAAAACTTACAAAGACACAATGTAAAGCAAAGATGAGTTTAACAAATGTATACTTCATTGATGTTATGTTCAACATATTAGAATGGAACATAAAACATGTTTTCTTCTCTCTCTTCTTCTCTGTGTACATTTCATATCCACCCAACAAAGAGGTTGATGGTCAAAGCCACTGAATTCAATTTTGATCATTTCATAAAATACTCAAGAAAAGAAAAAAATATTAACATGGTCATAGTAACACCTACTTACTGACACTTACTGTGTGAAAATTTATCATTTCTTGAAGACTGTCAGAAAACTTGGTCAAACTTGTCTGTGGAAAAAAAAAAAGAAAGAAAACCAAATCATTTATGAGCCACTAAAATAGGTCACAAAAATGTTACTTCAGCATTTCTAACAGAAAGATCAAGTTACATCGTACACTGTAACATTTACTTCCAAGGACAATCTCATTATCTCATGGGCATGCTCTATAGAAAGTTCAAGTGTTCACGTGGTAACATATAGAACCTTAGAAAGTCAAAGAATTAGGACAACCCTATCAATGGTAAGAAGTAACTTCAAAAAATTCACAGAAAATATCTATTAGGAAAAAAACAGACATGGATTTCAAATTTTTGTACTAAAATAAACATCTTTTATTCCATTTTTCTATAAACTCAAAAGTACCCTCTTATTATGCTAACAAATAGAACCTGTACAGCAACCCACCTGTAGTTAAGCACCAGTCTTAGGTTACTGCAGTCCGCCTGCCTATGTAAGCAGCTATATAGTAAACTGGTTGAGACAATATGAAACTGGATTAAAGAAAATGATGCTAAATATGTACAATGTGAATCAACAGGATTACAGAAGATATCACCAAGGGCTGATGGCTTTTCTACTTTTAAGTATCATTATAACAATTAATAATTCATGTGCAGATATATACTTCATGTCTTGTTACACTCATCATTTAAACCATAATTTTAATGGTACTAACTTCAACTACAGCATCATTACTAGAATACTGGGCCAGGTCTCGGATCCCGTTCATGAACTGTTTATTTGCAAGACAAAAGGCTTTTCCGGTATCAATCATGGCAATACAGAGCTTCACAAGCTGAAAAAGAAAAATAAATTATATCAGAAAAAAATTTTACAGATTATTTGGTTGAACAAGTATTGGTAGTAACCATATAAGTTTAACCTAGTTAAGATAAACTATATTTCATCAATAAACCCAAAATAAACCAATCAAAAATTACTTTTTTCCTTCAGCTTATAAGGTAAATTCATTAGAGTCATACCAAAAAGTTGGACTATTTAGGACTTGGAGGTTGTCTGATAACAAAAAACTCATTTAACCAAGGCAAACTCAATCACATAAATTAACTCTATGAAAACTTATCAAGCATCTCCTAGAAGAAAGAAAATAGCAAGCAAGCATAAGAAAAACTTTTTTCTGTAAACTGGCATGTTGGAGGAAAGGTGCGAACATTGATTTGGTGAGTTAGTCATGTTGATCATTTCATTATCAGTCTATCAAAGCTGATGTCTGAATGGATTATTCAAGTACTTATTCCAGAAAATAGTTATCCAATGTCTACTGGTCTGTTCTAGGCATTGCGTTAAGCATTAGAACTAGGCATTTCTCTTTCTTCCATCTTTCTCCCTCCCTTTCTTTTTTCCCCTTCTCTCTCTCTCCCTCTCTTTTTGTATCTCTCTACTCCACCCCCTTCTTTTCTTTCACTCAGACAGAATATTTGCCTTAAAAAGAAATCTTGGGTGAGTGTCAAATATTAAAAACCAGCGGCCAGCGCCGCAGCTCACTAGTGCCTGTGGTGCCGGCACTCCAGGTTCTAGTTCCAGTTGGGACGCTGGATTCTATCCCGGTTGCCCCTCTTCCAGTCCAGCTCTCTGCTGTGGCCCGGAAAGGCAGTGGAGGATGGTCCAAGTGCTTGGGCCCTGCACCTGCATGGAAGACCAGGAGGAAGCACCTGGCTCCTGGCTTCGGATCAGTGCAGCGCGTAGGCCGTGGCGGCCATTTGGGGGATGAACCAATAGAAGGAATACCTTTCTCTCTCTGTCTCTCTCTCTCTCACTGTCTAATTCTTCCTGTCAAAAAAAAAAAAAAAAAAAAAAAAAAAACCAGCAAAAGTACTGAGGCAAGTGGGAAATGATTAATACCAAGAAGAAGATAAAAAGCCAAGAAAAGAAGCTAGAGCCTTGATGCAGTGATTTAAGACTCTGCCTGTGACATTGGCATCCCATATGAGCAGCTGGTTCGAGTCCTGGCTGCTCTACTTCTAATCCAGCTCCCTGCTAACATGCTTGGGAAAGCAGTGAAAGATGACCCAAGTGGGAGACCCAGCTGCAGACTGCTGGCTTCCTCAAGGTTATTCAGGGAGTGAATCAACAGATAGAAGATCTCTCCATCTCTCTGAGTAACTCTGTCTTTCAAGTAAATAAATCTTTAAAGAGAGAGAGAGAGAGAGAGCGCCACAGAAATCTTTAGAAACTCCAGATTTCAAGAGTATAATTTTTTTTATTTGACAGGTTAGAGTTATAGACTTAGAGAGTCATAAGGGATGCCAGAGTCGTAGACGGAGGATTAACCAAGTGAGCCACAGCGTTGGCCCCACAAGAGTATAATTTTAAAATGGTGGTCCCAATAGCATAGAGGAATGGAAATTTATTTTTTTTTAAATATTTTATTTATTTATTTGAAGGTAGAGCTACAGAAACTGAGAGGGGTTGGTTCACTCCCCAAATGGCCAACACGGCCAGAGCTGCACCAAGCCGAAGCCAGGAGCCAAGTGCTTCTTCCCGGTCTTCCACGTGGGTGCAGAGGCCCAAGTACTTGGGCCATCTTCTACTGCTTTCCCAGGCCATAGCAGAGAGCTGGACAGGAAGAGGAGCAGCCAGGACTAGAACCGGCACCCATATGGGATGCCAGCACTACAGGCGGAGGATTAACCTACTGCGCCACGGCGCCGGCCCCAAGGAACAGAAATTTAAAACATAACTTCTGCTTCCAAGGAGCTCTATTCTGAACAGTAGGTAAGCAGATAACCTCCACAGAGCAAACACACAAGACAAAGCCACACATGAGTGAAAAAGGACACATGTAATCAGGACTTTTGACATCAAGGAAGGATTCCTGGAAAACAGGAATAACATAAAAACAGGAATAGCCTAACATTGCTACACTTCTAAGACCTTTAGATATCGACTAATGTGCATACAAAAGAGGAGATGTAATATGCAGCATTTCCTAAAGATACTTAACCACGGATTCTTTTTAGAGGAAGCATTTTCATAGAGCCATTGTTCCACAAAACCCCTATGAGAAATGCTGGCAGAAATAAATATTTTATTATTTACTAACTAAGGTATCTTACCGGATAAAATTAATTCGAATGTTCATATGGAGTAACCAACATGCAAAAGAGCAAAAATATTTTCAGAAAGAGTACTGAGGGGACAGGCCTTTGGCCTAGAGCTCCAGTGGGCAAATTTTTTTCTGGCATATGGATATTTATAACATCATTCATGAGCCATACCAAATTATCAACTTAAAAATTAGCCTGCTACAGATTTTTTAATATCAAGTCCCATCTGTGGTTGCCTTGGCAGGGCCAAACCAAATGATTTGGTAGCCCTTACATGGATACGAAAGGCCAACTCATGGATATGACTAAACAGCAAAAATAAAAAGTTTGAGAACATGTTCTTTTAGAGCCGGCAGGTAAAGGGAAACAGTTATTCTCATACACTGTGATAAGAATGTACACTGATACAATTTCTATGAAAGGCAATTTAATAAAAGCTAACGAAATTAAGATATATATAACCTCCTTAGTAATGTCACTTTTAAAAATTCATCAGGGCCAGCACTGTGGTGTAGTGGGTAAAGCCACCGCCTGCAGTGCCAGTATCCCACATGGGCACTGGTTCGAGTCCTGGTTTCTCCATTTCTGATCTTGCTCTCTGCTATGGCCTGAGAAAGCAGTAGAAGATGGCCCAAGTCATTGGGCCCCTGCACCCATGTGGGATACCCAGAAGAAGCTCCTGGTTCCTGGTTTGGATCAGCGCAGCTCTGGCTATTGCAGCCAATTGGGGAGTGAACAAGCGGATGGAAGACCTACCTCCCTCTCTCTCTCTCTCTCTCTCTCTCTCTCTCTCTGCCTCTCTGCCTCTCCCTGTGTAACTTTGACTTTCAAATAAATAAATAAATCTTTTTTAAAAAATGCACCACATATGGGGCCGGCGCCGTGGCTCACTTGGTTAATCTTCCGCCTGCGGCGCCGGCATCCCATATTGGCACCAGGTTCTAGTCCTGGTTGCTCCTTTTCCAGTCCAGCTCTCTGCTGTGGCCCGGAAGGGCAGTGGAGGATATCCCAAGTGCTTGGGCCCCTGTACCCATGTGGGAGGCCAGGAAGAAGCACCTGGGTCCTGGCTTCGGATCGGCGCAGCGCCAGCCGTGGTGGCCATTTGGGGAGTGAACCAACGGAAGGAAGATCTTTCTCTCTGTCTCTCTTTCTCTCTGTAACTCTACCTATCAAACTAATAAATAAAATCTTTTAAAAAATGCATCACATAGATGTATTTGCACACAGCCATGTATATGTGAAGTTATTCACTGCAGTCACAATAAAATATTGAGCAACTAAGCACCCATAGTAAACAACTGAATAAAAAGTATGATATGGGGCAGCCATTGTGGTACAGGGGGTTAATATGCTGCTTGGAATGTCCACAACCCGTGTAAGTACCAGTTCCAGTCCCAGTTATTCCACTTCTGATTCAGCTTCTGGCTAATGTATATGGAATGACAGCAGATGATGGGCCATGTACTTAGTTCCCTGCCACACACATGGGAGACCTAAATGGAGTTCCTGGTTCCTGGCTTTGATCTAGCCTCGTCCTGACTGTCACAGGCATTTGGGGAGTGAACAAGAAAATAGACAATGTCTCTGTCTCTCTCTCTCCTCCCACTCCCTTTTCTGTCATTCTGCCTTTCAAATAATAAATAAATATTTTTCAATGCGACATATACATATAACATAATCCAATCATTAAAAAAGAGACTGCCTTAAAATTAATTTTAAAAATCCAAAATATATTAAGATCAAAAACACCTGCAAATAGTGCTAATATTTTTGCTGGAAAAGAGTCATTTGTATGGAGAAATACAAATACATATAATCTTTTATATGCAAAAAAAAAAAAGACTGGAAAGACACACAAGAAGCTGGTGCAGTGTACTCACCTAGGAATGGGATTAGAAGATGATTATCACTAGATGTATTTGTCATCTTTGGATTTTGTACTTTAGGCGGTACTCATCCAACAAATAATACAAAAATAATTAAATCAAAAGCATCCCAATAAAAAAAGAGGGAGAAATGAGTTGACTGTGCAACATTCTCCTTTAAAATCAAAGTTTCTCCACTCCTGCAGGCATTTAGGAAGTGAGTCAGCATACAGAAGTACTCTATCATTTGCTTTCTCTTTCTCACTTTCTCTCAATAGCTTTCTGTCTCTTTTTCTCTCTATCTCCTCCTCCCTCCCTCTCCCCTTGCCTCTCTGCCTCGTGAATAATTTAAAATTTAAAATAAATTAATTTAAAATAAAAACATAGGTTCACAGCTCAGCTTAGGTTCAAATCTGGCTGCCATACATAATCACATAATTAAACTCGAGTGACCTTAACCTGAACAAACTTACAACCTTCAGTTTTTTCTTCTGAATGATACATAATGGTACCAATCACATAAGGTTACTATAAAATGATAAGATACTTCACATAAAGATCTTAGCACAAGTTGTTACAGAGTCAGGGCCAACATTGTGGCATGGTGGGTAAAGCTGCCACCTGTAGTGCCAGCAACCCTTATCAGCCCCAGTTTGTGTTTGAGCTGCTCCACTTTCAATCCAGCTCTCTGCTAATGGCCTAGGAAAAGCAGCAGATGATGGCACAAGTGTTTGGGCCCCCTGTATGTGGGAGACCCAGATGACATTCTTTGCTTCAGCCTAGCCCAGTGCTGGACGTTGTGGTCATCTGGGGAGTGAGTCAGCAGATGGAAGATTGATCGATTTCTCTCTCTCCCTCTCTCC